TCAGTTGATAATCATTCATTTGGCAACCATTTGAAGTTACAGCAACACTGAAAAAAACTTACTTATGACTGGTCCTCATGGTTACAACCATTGCAGCATCACCATGACCATATGATCAAAATATCGGTCCTTGGCAACTGGTATATATGATGGTTTGCATCCCAGGGTGGGATACAAAATAAACATAGTCACAAAAACAGGTGAAGCCCCTTTTATTCCTTCGCTTTGCTTCAAAGCTCCAAATATCCTTGACTGGATACAAAAAACTCCCCCACAAGCAGTTACAAAAAGGAAGAAATGGCGTTTAAACTAAAAATGCCTATAAATTATAAAGAGTAAAAACAACACAAACCACACTGAAGCAATTAAGGGAACCAGGGAAGATAAGGGCTTGAAGACATCCACAGATATCAGAACACACACTTGGAAAGACGTCAAACTCAGGAAAGACAGACTAGAGATATTTCCACACTTTGTTTCCAGCACTGGCCCATACGCATGTCCGTCCTTTTAACCAGTTCTCACAGCTGCAGCCCATGAAGAGGATCAAGGCCCTTTCCTCCCCTGAAGACCACGCCATCACATTTCTCCCTTATCCTCTCCTCCCTGCGTGCCCTAAGATGGAGAGGGGATGGGCCTGGGTCTTCATCTGACTGCCCAGCCGGCCTCTACCCTTCCCCAGCCTCCTCCACAACCTCCGGAGCCACACTTCCACTCCCTGTCGGCTGTTCCTCCTCTCCCTCGGAGTCAGTCTCCAACGGGCATGACAGCATTGTCCCAGGGTCATGTGATCTCCATTTGCAAGCCTTCCCGGGCGGCTTTTTAACCAGCAAAGTCAACGAAGGAAGCTGGATTCGCTTCACAGTCTTCTCTCTAAATCAAATTATGATTTTCCCAAATCCTAATAACATTGGCACATTGCAAAAACATGCCCTTCGATAAGGGTCCTTCTTCTCGAGCATGGTTTGTCCAGGAAACTGCATATTGGACTTCTTGCACAAAGCAAGGATTTTTATTTTGCTTAGTTTTAGTACCTTAATCATCTTAATTATGTTTAATCATTCAAATAATTAATTGTTTGTCTATGTGTCTTTTATCATCTGTAAGCCACCCGGAGTCGCCGTAGAGAGGAGATGGGCTGCGGAATGAATAAATGAATGAATGAATAAATGATGGGGCAGACTTGAACTGTAAAAATGTGATAAAATGAGGGCGGTGAAACTTCCCTAAAGGACTAATTCAGTACAGATAGTCCTCGACTTACGTCCACAGGTATGGCTGAAACTTCCAGAGGCAGATGTTAAATGAGTTGCACCTGATTTTTATGATCTGTTTTTGCCACGGTTGTTCAAGTGAATTGCCCCGATTGTTAAACAGATCCGACTTTCCCAATTGACTTGGCTTGTCAGAAGCCAGCTTGGAAGATCGCAGAGATAATAATAACATGGCCCCAAATGCTACAACTATCATTAATGCATGCTGATTGCCAAGTGCCCAAATTTTGATCATGTGGCCGCGGAGATACTGCACCAGAGGTGCTCTTCAGCAGGTTCTGACCAGTTCTGCAGAACCGGTAGCGGAAATTATGAGTAGTTTGGAATACCACCTCTGACTGGCCCTGCTCCCATCAATTCTCTGTCTCCTGAGTCCCAACTGATCGGCCGAGCCTTCTTTTGTTGCCCTGCATGGGAGAACGGAGCTGGAAAGCAGGTTAGTGGGGTGGGGAGAGATGGAGATTTTACAGTATCCTTCCCCTGCCACGCCCACCAAGCCATGACCACCAAGCCACACCCACATAACCGGTAGTAAAAAGTTTTGAATCCCAGCTGCGCTAGTTGTAAGTGTCAAGAATCAGTTCGTTTTTTCAGTGCCATTGTAACTTTGAATGGTTGTAAGTTGTCTCCTGCGTAGAGAAGGAGTTTTGCTTCTTCCATAAGTGTTTTACCTAGGTTTTTCTGTTTGAGCAGCGTCGTCTTGTACCTGGCTACTGCAATGAGTACTGCTACTTCTTCATGCATTATGATACGCTTGCATAGCTAAAGTTGTCTCTTGAATACCCATTCAGAAATAGGACTTGTTTTCTCTTGTTTTTCCATCCTTACAGCCGCTTCTTCCCTCTTCCACATATTTTAAAATGTTAAATTTTATTGATTTTGTATTAATTACATTTCTTAGTGCTTAATAAACAACGTGTTAGCTGGATATTTAATTTGCTTAACAGAACTGATTATATTCTTAATCTTCACACCTTTAGATTCCATGGTGTTTGATAGTATTCTGTGTCTTCTTTCATTTAATTTTCAATGTCAACCTATCCATTTCTGCATAGTCTAGTACAGGGGTCTCCAACCTTAGCAACTTTAAGTCAAACCTTAGCAACTTTAAGCAAAGCTGGCTGGGGGATTCTGGGAGTTGAAGTCCTCCAGGCTTAAAGTTGTCAAGGTTGGAGACCCCTGGTCTAGTATCTTCTTAATTATCTCTTCATCTCATGGTGTCTCTTCCACATTGTTAATCCTTTTAATATTTTAATGGCTGGAAAGTTTGTGTTATGTTTGGATTTCTAATGCAGTTGTTTATGTTGTTGTTATTGCAGTTTATATCTCTTATCATGCTTTTCATAAGGTGTCTGTGATATGGGAGCCAATATTATTTATACAATAAACAAGATCAATGAATATTACTAACATCCTGTATTATAATAATGTATAGATTGCAGATTTGGTTCCTAATAATGTCTTAGTGAGTTTTTAAAAAAAAAAAAAAAACTTAAATTGCACAACGAGGGGTAGAGATCCACTCTTACAAGGAAGCAGATTTTCCTACATTAAATTCAAAGCATACAAAGCAAAGCAGTGTACTTGCATAACCTGTTAGTAGTTACCCAGTGCCTGCTTTAGAACTTATTCCACCTTCAAATGTACTTAGTTTTTTTTTAAAAAAAAATGTTATTAAGAATTTTAATGTTATTCTTTTATTAAGAATTTTAATGTAATCCCGTTGTAAGGAATGGAATATGAGATAAAGAGATACCTGTTTATGGATCTGAAGAGCTATTAAATTTGTTTCTACTTGTGGTCAAGGTTGCAAGTCACTTCCTTATATATATCTCCTTTCTTTTTCTTCATTGTTCACTTACTTTTTCTTCAGCTTTTTCCCTGAACTTTTTATTCTTTCTTTCCATTCTATTTTTTTCTCTAAATTTAATGTGTATTAGCTTTTACTAATTACAATAGTAAAAGCTAATACACATTAAATTTAGAGAAAGAAAATGGAATGGAAACAATAATAAAAAGTGCAAGAAAAAAGAAAAAGAAAGAAAAAGAAAATGAAGAATCCCTAATCAGATATTTGTTCATCCCATATCCCATTTCTTATTTTAACCTTGATCAAATAAACCAACTTTATATTTTCCCTTTTACTTCTCACTATCTTAATTGTTAATTCAATCAAGTATTATCGTAGGATTTGATTTATTTTCAATTCTTTGTTATCTCATTGCATAGACTTTCCAAGGCTTAAAGCCTCTTTTGTAAATCCAACAAGAAAACATTATCCAGGTCATTCGCTTGGTTTATCATTTATGTTTAATTTTTAAAAGTTTGTCAAAGTTTGTATGTCTAGTAAAGTGTTTGGAACGTTCCAAATCATTATCTTAGACTGTCATTTGTAGTTCCATCTCCCCTACTTTATTTTCTCAGATAAAATTTGTTCCACATTGGTCACTTTCTTTATTAACATTTTTTACATGTAGTCTGTCCATAGAAACGGACTTTATCACTGAAAGTGTTGATATTGTAATCACTAACCTTTGATTTCATTTTTCAAAAATCTACTTTAAAATCTCTGATAACATTTGGTGTCATTTTGCAAGTCTCAGTATTAAATGACATCAAGTTTGTATTTTTTTTTTCCTTCTGCTTAAAATCTTTAGTCCCCTCTAGTGTCCAGTTTCTAAAATATCACTTATCTTTTATTACGACTTGCAATAACCAGAATAGCATTTCCCACAAGAAGTTGGTTTTTTTTTAATAGTTAATACCAACATCTTTCAGTAAAAGTCAATATTATAATTTATCTGGGTACTTAATCCATTTGATCCATTCTTAAATCAAAAACTAACTTAACCTCTGCTGTTTATTTCAGGTTCTGTAAATTCTTAAACTTGTAATTAATTTTGCTTTTGTTTCGAGTTGAAGAAAAACTCAACTGATGGAAACTTCAACTTTGTCCTTTTGAAGGTCTCTAATACTTTTAAAATGGCTAACAGGCAATTTATGAAAGTGATTTTAAAAAAAAAGTTTGTGAACTTAGTGTCATTTAAAAGACTCCAACATGCAAAATGATTAGTCCCATCATCTCCCATTGCTTAAAACAATGGAAAATCACTGTCTATAGTCTCCTTGTGAGAGGCAGGCTTCAGAGCACACGTTGTTGCTCTCTTCTCTGGAAAGGTTCCAAGGAACTGACCTACCCAACTGGGCCTTTGACATGGTTGCCAATTTCGCTTTTGAACAGCTGTCTTCCATTCGCCATATTTCCTCCGGAAGTCCCACTCAGTAACTAATTTTTGATGGGTCTGACAAACCAAATAGCATCTAGTATAGCAATTCCTTCTTTTTCTCTGTAGGAAAACCCTGTGAGGTTGGTTAGGTTGAGACATAGTGACTGACCCAAAGTGATCACAGAGGTTCGTTGTGTGAGAATAGATTTGAGCCGAATTCTCTCTGGTGTTAATCCAAACTACTACCGTACTTTGCATTGAGACTCTGTAGTTATGTAGCTATACCATTTTAAAATAGCAATCATAGGCAAAGAAGAAATTGGAGCACTTCCAGGACATGTATAGAACTAATTTTCAAAAACATCTCTGGCCAATGTACTTCAATGCCTTTGACATGTAAAAATAAGTATAATTCAATTATTCTGGTACATTTGAAAAGTCCCATAATACTGAATGTTTATAACCAGTTTCTTTCCTCTCTTTCTCCCCTTCTTTATAGCTCTATAACTTTGGAGAAACAGTTTCTGTTGTATTCTGGACAGACACGTGGAAGCCTGAGAGTTTTTTTGACAAAATTATAAAAAACAGAAAAAATGGAATGCACACACTATGCTTACTTGGTAAGAAACATTTGCATCTGGTATTTATTTATTTAGATGTGATATCATTGTGAGATTTTAAGAATTCAAGCAATTGTTGGATGTCTTTTTTAATGGCTCATACACCATCCAGAATTTTTGCACTACACGTTTGTCATAAACATGCTGTCTATTATCATGCTTCATCAATTCGAACTACTGTACTTTTGTGAATAATTCAATAATTCATCCTTTCTGATGAAATAAGAAGATGTGCTTGTGTAAAGGCCTTCTTGGCCACAGCTGTCATCTGCGAATCCAAGATTATGGGGCCCCAGTATCTTCAGTCATTCAGTCCTCTCAGGATTAAGTTTGAGTCTCTTCTCTCCATCCAGTTTCACACACTTTTCAGACATTGGGACAGGACCTTGAGAACATCAACTTGATTGAGTCAGGATAAAGATATATATCTGGGTATCATCCACATATGTCGAGATCCCAAACAGATGGGTGATCTCCCTCAGCCATTTCATGTAAATATTAAACAAGGAAAGGAAAGAGCATCAAGCCTCAAAACAATTGAGGGGCTAGGATCCCTGGTTAATGTATAGCTCATGATATTGTACAAATCCAGAAAATTGGGTTAATTTAATAAACCATAGTTGATTTAATTCCTGGATAAGCATGCAAATGCAGACATAATCATGAAACTAGAATAATATAATGCAGCCAGTATACTATACTGTATATTATATTACTGTCTATAATATGTATAATATTATGGTATAGTATTATACATACTGTAGCCAATAGCATAATGCAGATATTTTTATCCTTGATATTAAAATAAAACTTTTTTAAAAAATAAGCTCTTATTGGCTGGTTGTACCTGAGGCAGTTGGGATGGCTGGTTTTGCAGTCTGGCAAAATAACTGCTGGCTTCTGCTGCAGGAAGAAGTAGCTTAAGAAAGGGCCACCTAATTTCTATCATCTGATCTGTTTTGGAACCTTTCTGATCCAGCACCCTCTGTTAGTCCATCCCAAATGGCTTTGGTCATAGAAATGTTCATTTAGACACAGTGAATTAGGATAGTGGAATATGAATTTGGCTCTCTTTACCCCCATAATAGAATTTAGTACAAAGATACCAAAACTATATATGTTATTGCCAGTCTAAATGAAACTCCATCCTTGGCCAACAGTGTTTCTAAAAAAAAATCCAAATTCATGTCAGTGATTCCTAGATTAGCATCACTGATTTATGTGTGTATTTAATATATTTGCAATATTTTTTCTGGGCATGTACCATTTCATGATACTAAAAGGAAAGTATTATATTTAATAGATTTTTTTTAAAATCTAAGCAAGCCAGATACTTTCCTATTTACTGAAAAATAGTATAAGCCAAAAATAGCATTTGCCTAGCCTTCCCCTTACATTTGCCCCAGGGTAGATTTTATTTCAGATTTTGTTTCTGTATGGAAATTTTCATCTAAAGCTTACTACAGTGGGATGGGAAAAGATTATTGCTCGACTTACATAATATACATTGGCCTGTATAGTCATCAATTGCAGTGTTCTCTTAACATTTGGAAGAAATAGAAGTCTAAGTCTCCCCACCCACTCATTCCCTAATTTTAAGAAATGTTTTATCTAGCACTGAGTTTGCAAAGAAACTTGAGTCTGAATAATGACTGAATATTGCAGAGTCAGGAGTTTTAAATTGCCCCAGAATTACACTGTGAGAAGTTTTAAATTACAGTTAAGAGGGTTGCACAAATGTGCTCCCGTTATTAGGGAGCTGATCCTAGAATGTCTTTAAAATGATTAAAATAAAAGTTTTAGTAAGGCCATCCCTTTAACTGGAATTGCTAAGCTACTTACTGATCCTGCTTCTGAGTTTTAACAGTAATATGATATATAGAGATTAGCATCATCTACTCAGTGGTGGGTTTCAAAAAGTTTTCCTACTGGTCAGTGTGAGTGTGCGCTTTGCACACGCACAGAGCTTGCAACTCACCTGCTGCAAGCCCTGTGTGTAAAACAGCTGACGCACGGCAATCAGCTGTGCCGCGTGAAGCCACTGAGGTTGAAAAGCAGGAAATAAAGGTCAGTATAGAGGTGGGGTAGGTGGGAGCGCCCAGCAGCTGATCGTTGGGGGAAAGCGGTTCGGTCACAAATGATCATCGGAGCTACTGGTAGAATACCACCACTGCATATACTGTAGAGAGAGAACAAAAAATACACATTATTTCTGATATTCCCGTTATTTTCTTAAAATTAGAATCAATCATGGCCTGCAGAAAAGGGAGCGGCCCAAAAGGTTTTGTAGCTAGGCACAATTTTTTCAAAAAATTGCACCAGTCTTTTCAGGCAAAATTAGATTTAACATGTAAGCGAGAGACATTCTACAGAGCCAAACAATCACACATGGAATTGTTATCAGATGGAAATTGGACTGATGTAATTAGCTCATTCAGTGTTCTTTAAATACTAGGGTTGATTTAATCGTAGCCTTTTCGGTGATCGTAGGTTGGTTCTGAGTTCTTGCAAGCAGCCAACGGTCTTATGACCTCGGTTGCTTTTCTTGATTACAAGCCAGGAGTTCCAGCATTATATCCCAAAACCTCTAAGTCCAAAAGCAATTTCTCTGCATGTTTTGGAAAGAACTGAATTTTGACAGCATATAATCAGTCAACATGACTGCTGCAGAAATTGGTCTGGAGATAATTTATACATTGGGGAGTTGACTGGAATTGTTCCTTAATTATTGAAATGTTGCAGCGGCTATGTAACTATTGAAACTGCACAGATGTTGGCCATTTGCATTTTCAGAGAGCTAGAGAGATTTAAAATTGTGTTTCTTCTCTGTGATTAATGCTGAATGAAAGAAGATGTTACAGTCTTTCTGTATACACATCAGCCTGTTATGTTTTGAACAATGCTCTGTCCGGCTTCTCTCCCACTCTCCTTTCTTAATACTTCCATTCTCAGCTTGCTTCCATTTTCTCTACTACATGTGTTCTTCCCTAGTTCCCTCAGGTGTATCGATTCCCAATCATCCAAAGGGCAAAAGATTAGGGAAGATTGAATCAGCCCATGGGGTATGGTTTGTTTCTCATAAACACACACAGACACACAACAAAGAAAGACGCCTCTGTGTTAAAATATTGAGGAACATTACTTCAGCATTTTATTATCTGTGCACAGAATGCCAAGCCGTTCTAGGATATCCATTTGTAAATCAATCACAATTGGCTGGGTTCACATGAAGTGCTCAGCTGGAAGCCTGGTGTGCAAATTATAGCTGCTTGGCCCTCACATCAAGATCCAAGTGTATTCTGGCTTAGCTTAGTGTATGAAGTCATTAATTCACTTTATCATAGCAAAAGTTCCATGTCAGGAATGTTGATATGTGAAGAAGTGTGAAAAGCTGTTTAAAAATTAAAGTGCAATTATGAAGTCATTGACTGTATATGGAAAATGAATTTGATCCAGAGTTCAAATGACTAGAATAAAATAAACACTGGAAATAAATGGCACTAAAATATAAAGGGAGGGCAATTCCATTCTTACAAAAAAAACAAACAAACCTGGAATGTTGTTTAATTCATTATGTGTTTACCATCACATAACATAACTTTGGGAGGCTCCCAATAAAAAGCCATGAAACAGTAATCTCACTCACAAGCAATTGGATAAAGCTACCATAAATAGCCCATTGTAATCCAACACAACATAATGCTACTTTTAACCTTGGGGATGGAAACGGGGGCAGCCATTCCAAAGGAATGGGGGAATGAGGCCACTGAGCAAATCTGCCCCTGCCCTACTTGGAGTGGGGGAGCCAGAGGCGTTCTCTCTCTGATTGGAGTGCACAGGTTAGGCAGGTTCAGGTAATTCCTAAAATACCTAGGAGTTGAGTCCAGAGGGTTGTAGAGGTCATTGGAAAACTCCCAGCCAGGCAGGGAGGAGGAGTCAAGCAGGGAACTAGTCTTGAGTCCTCACACAGCCCCAAAGGCATAAGCCTGACCCCCATCTAAGTTCCAAGCAGTTTGTGGAGACTCATGGATTATACATAGAACACAATAAAGTTTCTGATTTGAACCCCTCACAAATGGATCTGATTGCTTGCTCCTGATAATACTAGCCCTTTGAATTATATTCATAAACAATTGGAGGTGAATGCAATGTCTACAATTGCAGATTTTATCCTGCTAAAGTGGGTCTCACTGGCCAAGAGGCAGGCTGCTGATGGAAATAAAAGAACACTTATATTTGCATCCATGGCTCCTCCTCAAAGCTCATTCATACTGCTTAGGTTTAATAGGGTATAAAGTTCAGTAACTAATGATCTGAAGGAAGTATGACACCCAATATGTTTTTCTTCTAGAAGATAAGATGAAAAATGTCAAGTATGTTATTGATTGCCTTGAATCCTATAAACACACATTTGGTTCCAGATGGTACAGCTTGAACTTATTAAAGTTGATGTCTACCTAACAGACTTCAATTAAGATTGGTACTTAGATCTAATGCAAAAAGAAATCTTTTTAATTATGAAAAACGGACTGTGTCTTACGAGCTGAGTTAGATACTAGCAGCAATTCATCCTCGAAGAGTGGACCTTATGAAGCCAATCCAAACACATAAGAAGGATGTGTCAGTGTCAGTAGTGGAAGAAGTCTGAGGAAAAAAGTCCAGCAAAAGCATCTCAAAAGAACACAATCTGCTCAATAGCTACAGAATGCTTGTTGAGACCCCTAAAGAGATAACCGGGAAGGAGAAAAAATGATTAGGACTCCTTGGAGCAATTGAAGGACATGGCCTGAATCCTGAATACAAACCAGTTTGTGAAAATAATTGCTTGTTATGTACTAATATCAAATAGAGATACTCTGGAATTGTTTGTTTTATTTAATTTATTTATATATTTATTTATATAACTCTAATCCTAACTCTAACCTTAACACTTGAGTTATTTATAAAAATAATAAATGTGGAATATTAAAAAATTCCTTTCCGCCTCACACACATATAGTACAGTCTAAAGCAGCCCCAAAGACAAAGAATATGCTATACAGCAACAAAATGATATTGGACAATGCAATAGAGCAATGAATATAATGGTACTGGCTGGCTGAAATTAGTCCTATTTTTTAAAAAAACATTTTTTTGAATAGAGATTGTAAGATGTGCAGCAATAAGTTAGAGAGGACAGTCTATGGACATATTTCTGTATCATATGCAAGGTTAAAATAAAATATTGACTCTTAGTTTTATAAAAAAATATTCCAGTGTATAACACTTAACGTTTTTTCTGCAGATATTAAAGTGAAAGAGCAGTCAGTGGAGAACCTCATGAGGTAAGCTATGTTGCTATGTGTTGATTATGAGCGTGTGTCCGTGAAGAGTATGTAGCTAGTTTAGCACTTGAAAATAGAATAACTATTATAGGAATCTATAGTATTACATACATACATAATTAATGCAGGAGATGGAAAGGAATTGTGATCATTCGTACTCTGGGTTATGGGACAGATGAATAGCAAAGTTAAATCATAACTAAAATCCACTGAAATCCTCTCAAGTGTATTTCTACAAGTATTAGGTTTAAATATTTGAAGGGAATCTGGAATAAAGATGCACTCAGACCTTTTTCAAAGATCCCAAAATTGGTTTGCAAATATTTCTTTTTCTCATCAGCTGAGCACAGTTGAAAGCCTTTGCACAATCAGAAACAATGCTGCAATCCATTCTCGGCTTTTCTGAAATGCGGAGACCTGACTTCTGGTTGCATCCATTTCCCAGGAGGCTTGCCACAGCTTTGAACAGTTTAGACTTCTTCACAACAGTGTGACCACATTGTAGGATGAAACACCATCTACTGTGCCTCAGGAAGCACCACCAGGAATTGGTGTCCAAGAGACAGTACTGTTGGCTTTCATAACATCAAGTTGGACGTGGTCTTAAGGAATATTGAGTCCAACTCTTGCACTGTGCAAGATACACTAGATCACTTCTGACAAGATGGCTGTTCAGTCTCTTTTTAAATACCTCTAGTGAAAAATTGCTCATCACAATCAGGGTGTTCCTCCACATAACTAGTCCAGACCTTTCTCCTTGTAGTTTTAAGTACTTTTAAAGTCTTGTACTAACTGGAATTGGAGGCATCACTTGCCCTCTGCTTCAGGCAATAAAATGTCATTGGCCAAACCTTACTTTTAGTCATCTGTTTGTTAAAGATAAACTGGATGCTTCATAAATAAATTAAATTCTTAGTGTGTTTAGCATGTATTAGCTGTCTCTCACTTTAAAAAAGCGAACAGAGCGATATTAGCTCTGATCCAAGTCACTTATCAGTGGTATAATATTTTCCCACTCCCAGTTGTTCAGTATTTCTAATCTGGGTGGATCAGTCTGCGTCCTTAATCTCTTTGCCAGCTCATCTTATGGAACAGTTGATGGTTTCTGGACACATCCTTACTATGGTTTAGCTTCATATTCATATGGACTGACAATCTTGGGGGAAGATTTATTTTGGAACTTCTTCATAACTCTACTTGGCCAAGTCCAGGGTTGGCATACTTTGCTGAAAACAACTCTTAAATACTAGATTTGAGGGACTATAATTATGCAACTCGAGAGTATATGGTTGAAAAACACAGGCTTTCCTTTCAGCTTGGCATGAATAGCACAGTCGCTGATGCAGGGGGAAGTATAACACCACTTTTGAGGGGGTTGAGGAATAGCCATGACTGGGATTGTACTGGAAGAGTAAACATATGGCACCTCTTTTAGAAGCGGAGAATACATTAATCTGAATCATGCAGCCTGTAATTCCTCAGTTAAAAGCTTCAAAACAGCCACAGGACTGCCTAAGAATGATTTCTCTTTCCCTATGACATAAATGTTGGATGCAGCTTTTAATGCACATCTAAAGCTAGGCCAGTGAAGTCAAGGGGAGAGTGCACCAATATGTTTCCATCTGCTGAATATGCTGTTTCCTACTTTTCAGCTGTTAGTGTGGTGACCAAACCCAGCCTAAGTCTTTCTTGTGTTTAACAAACATTAATTGAAGAAAATGCAGTATGCAAACCAACTAGTACAAATGTCAGTTTGTTGTGCTCATGAATCTGACAGGACTAGGATGTATGAGCTCCTTGTTTTGATATTGTCAATTTTCTCTGTCAGGGGAAAGAAAATCTTTGAGCCACCACGCTACATGAGTGTGAATCAAGCAGCCGAGCAACTTCTTGCTATTGTCCAGAATCGGCGGCTACAGGGCCAAAAGCCAGGTATAATCTGTTTGTCCTTTCTGGTAAAAAGATATACTGTATATACTTCTTGAAATCTCTTCCAAATTCAAGAACTCCTATGGAGTTGGGCCATCCTGAACTTGGCAAGATACAGTTTGCACAGAAACCAACGTTTTACATTGGTTCATCATCATGTCATGTACATCACTAGCTTGGAAGTACATATTTAAAGGCCGCAGAATGTTGGCGTATATGCAACCCAGCCACAAGTTCAATGACCCAAGTTTTTAAAAAAAAAAAAAAATATTCCAGATGGATATATTTCAAGAATGAATCACCTCGACTTTAATCATTTCCCACACTCATAAGAAATTGTGCATTTCCTTCATTTGGTGTTTGAGATTCTACTTGCCACAAAATGTGGTCCCAAATGCAGAGTGGGAAGGCACTTTTAATATTAAAAAAATTGAATATTGCAGTCCTTGATCAGCACAAAGAAAAATATGTGTCACATACCTTGCCATCTTGTATTCAACTAACCATTTGATATTGCATGAAGAAATACAGACTTTTGGTGGGGAAACATAACCAAAAGCAATTCCCTTGTTAGTAAAATATTTCTATGTTGTAGAAAAAAGAAACCTCAAAAGTTAAGTAAATTGATCTTGATTTGATCCTCGAGCATTTTAATTGTAAAATTGTAGGTTGGGATGGAGAAACTAAGGATGCACTATGACTCCCATCATCCTGGTCATGATCCAGTCATGTTCAGTGGGCATGACAGGAATTCAGCAATATCTGACTGGCTGAAGTTTTCTCATCCTTGCTTTAAGGTTTAAAATAACACTGTAAAGTAGGGGTGTCCAACCTTGGCAACTTTAAGACCTGTGGACTTTATCTCCCAGAATTCCCCATATTGGCTGGGGAATTCTGGGAGTTGAAGTCCACAAGTCTTAAAAATTGCCACAGTTGAACACCCCTGTGATAGAGCTTCCAGTTCTTCAGTGTTTGATCCCAATAATTCATAGCAAACAAGATGGATACTTGCTTTCCATATAAAAGCAAAATGCTAGCTCAGAGTGATGCACTACTTATCAAAAGAAAACCTGGAAACACAGTTCATTCCTATGAAGCAAAGGAACATAAAACAAGAATTATGGTTAAGGAGAACTTTAATTACAATTTAATTCATCATCTTGGATTCAAATAACATAAAGCAAAACATAATACAATTTATTATGTTCTGCAAGTTATGGTTAATGAAGACAACCCTCCCCTATCAAAACAGCAAGAAAAATAAGGGAATGGGGGAATAAAAATGACTCAGCAAATTCTCCTCCATATTCTCTGGTTAAAGGAGCTTTTTCGGAGATATGAAACCCTGTCCACAGATATTTCATAAATGCTTCCTTGTTTTTTTTTTCATTTTTATTTTTTGAAAATTCCTCAGTTATTAAGAATAGCATCTAGTCTTTCTGGTGGGCTATATTCACTTAAATAAGTCTGCATGACTGAAAACCTACCTAATTATTATACCTGAAGTTCAGATTCCTGCTAGATCACCATATTTCCTGTGCCTGATCTTTACAAATTTTGCCACATCCTGTTACGAGGCAATGTTACAGGCATTGCTCCAATTTTCAGGAAAATTATTGTAGATTCCGAAACCTTCAGAAGGTTTCCTGGCGTCAGTGTAAGATGATGTAACTTTGAAGGAGGGAGAATCACTTTCTCTTAGATTAGCTGCAGAAGTCAAAATTTTAAAGCAGATTTTCTTAAATCATTGTGTTCTTTGTTTTTGCAGAAGTAACCGAGAACACTGTCTGTGTAGGCTTAGCAAGAGTTGGTGCATTGGATCAGAAGATTGTATCAGGTACTCTACAGGATATGACTACGGTGGCCCTTGGCGATCCTCTGCACTCTATGATCATAACTGGAATATTGCATCCCTTGGAAGTAGACATGCTTAAATTATTTGCAGTAGATAAATCCATCTTGGAACAAGACTGAATTGGAAACACTTTGTGCCTTACCTGGAACAGAAGCTGGTAAATTCCTTGTTGATAACAGACTACAAAGAAGTAGCCCATATCTTGCTAAAGAAGACAACTAGCAAGCCCAACTGTGATTCCTTATGGCTCAGGCTCACTGCGTTCAACTTGTAAAAGTTTTGTTACTTGGCAGAAGTGAAATAAAAATTGAGATTATTGTTTTGATTCCACTTGTACAGCTGGTGATGGGAGAGAACAGTATGGCAAGAGAACATTCAAAAGATGAAATATAGCGCTTGGCTAGGGTGGCTAATTGTTTTCAGTTTAGACTTTGAAAACAAGACAAAAACAAATTTTTAAAGAAATCTGTTCCTGCCTTGATGGAGATGTCCTAAGGGAGTAAATCTGTGCCTAAACGGTACCATTTCCAACTACAGATAATGGCGATAGTAACAGTATCAGTAGATAAAGCTTGAATTGAATTTAAACCACCAACGTATGCTGAGCATTCTTCAGATCAAAGGGAGTTAAGGAAACTTAAAATTAAAAATCCAGGAAAAAACCAAAAACAGGAAATAAATAATTGCTTTGAGGAAGTTTGAAAACTCTATTTCAGCCCTCATTCAGTGACAGGACAATACGCCTCAACCCATTTCCTGATTGATCAAATAGTTCAGTATTTTCTGATGCAGAGTAGGGATGGGACCAAATGGGTGTCTGGAGGAAGAGTATTTCAAAAGTGGAGAGGGTCTTGGTGACCCCATCAGTATATGCAGCTAATGGTTCATAATTCTCAGCATTTTTCTTCCTTTTTTCCCCTCAAGGGTTTTTTCCTTTAAGCTCTTTTTACAGTGTGTCCTTCCAAAAATGAGGAGCTATGCCTCATTCATTTTTGGAATGAAATAGACTCAAAAATATCTCTAGACCTTGCCTCTATAGCAAGCAGGAGGTATCCACTTTCAAATATATCTGATGTAGGAAATGGACCTTGGCAGTTGGTTCAGTGTACTGTTTTTATTGAGTCCTTCTCCATACTGTTTGGAGGTTTGGAGGTTTCTCCACAAGATTTTCAAGGAAGATTAAGGGATGCCATCTTTTCTGTGTCATTTCCATGAAGAGGTGTCTCAACTCAACACTGTCTTGAGTTTGGGCAGAGAATGGGAAATAAATCTAACCAACCTCACATTATCTCTGCATTTTTTTATTCATATATTGTGTTTTACTAATATGTGGCTTAGCATGCTGTACAAGACCAGCTGCCATTATGCATAAACCACAATGTACAGCTTATTACCTCTGTCTTTTTTCCAATTAGACAAGAACTTAAAAATGCTTTAAAGAATGTATTTCACCCCAAGAACTACATAAACAATATATGACCTTTTAAAAAAAAGTTTTATTGATAGGAAAAATTGATCCCAAATATCATGTCAAACATTTTTGCTGTTTCAATAGACTGTATTTAAAGTAGGAAAAAATAAACCAATATAATGTTCAATATTGCACTGGCCACTAGCTATAGTATTTTCAAGTTATTTTCAGTATATTATCTTTAGCCACCACTTTGAACTTATCGGTAAATAAATTCCTTAAATTGTACAAAACACCAGTCCTTTAGAAACTAAATAAAAGACATTTTCAGGAAATAAGAGTTTCGCCATTTTCTCATACAGGAAAATATATGGCTAGGCCATAAATGCGATCTATAATCTATAATTTAAGCCAGGGCTTGGCAACAAGATACACCACCACTAAATAATGGGTATTGATCTCAAAACTTAAAAATAGGCAGCTGAAATCCTATTAGATCAATGCTCTCAAGTCAGAATTTGGTCTATTAGAAGCTACAGGTTGCATAGTGATTCACACTGCCAAACAGACTGCTGACCCTGCATAATTTTTTTACTTATTGATCAAATGTATTTGCTGCCCATCTTGTGGTTCAAGGCAACTTTGAGTGGCAAGTTTTGGGAATTGATATCATAGCAACCAGGCCTCAGTAAATGAAATATGCAAACAATGCTTTTAGTATTTCATTATAGCGAAACTTTCTCCTCCCCAAGATAGTGGGAGAATAAAAACAGAAAAATCCATCTCATCTAAAGCTTAGTCATAGCTCCAAATAAAATTACTTATTAGAGGGGCACAACTCTTTTAAAGTAAAAAAAAAATGCAAAAATTTCAGGTCAATGTACAAAGCAGCAGGAGTTATAATGGGGGCTGGGAGCAGGACTCTGAGAAAAATGCATATTGAAGTACTTTCTATGGCAAAACAAAAGCAGAATCATGTAAGAAATTTAGAACTAATTATAGACCACGGGTATCAAACACAATTGTGTCATGTGACGTAGCGTGACTTTTGCCTTTGCAGAGACTGGGTGGGCGTGGCCTGCACATGACACATCCGGCCTGCAGGCTCCAGTTTGACAGGCCTGTTATAGAGAATAATTTTCTAAACTAGACAAAGCATGTAAGATCCCTGGGTTTCATCTAAATCATACCAACCATATTTGCAAAAAACAAAACAAAACCCTGCAGTTCTCCCCTGGAAAACATACTTAATTTCACTGGTTTTAGTCTCTTCCCCTCATCACCCACTCCATCTTGCAATAACCAGCCATTGATATTTCCACTGCCAGTCTTGGTTTCTTCAACTGCCAACAATATTTATCTGATACACTTAGCATCTCTTCTAAAAACTCTGGCCACAGTTAGGCCAGTATTTTGTTTACTAGCCAAGACTCTGAATATCTGAATAAAATTACAAGTGTTCATATTTAGAAATGAAAAAGAACTGGGGGGAAAAAAAAGACTGTTCAAGTTACTGGTTCCATCTGTAGAAAATAGTCCTAAACACTCAACTGCATTGGGCAGCCTATTTTCCCCTCAACAATTAAACAGATCCTAAGATTAAGCCTAATACTTTGAACTTCAAAATATAAAAAAACACTTTTCCTTCATATTATCCCTCTGGAGCTTGGTGGACAATAAACATGTTCTACAAATGTCCTAAGTTAAACATCTTGCCTTGGGATTACAGAGCAAAATGCACATTTGTTTAGGGAGTGAGCCCTCTACTGAACTATATGGTTCAAAAGGCAACGAGTTTGATGTAAGTTGTTTTGCCAAAAGTTAGATAAAAGCACATTTCAGTGCCACATATTTGGCAAAAGTATAATTTTACATGCTTTGCTGTTTGACATTTGGCTGAAAGAAGTCAGCAACAATAAAGAGGACTTGTATCCTGCAGAAACAAAACAAAACAAAGAGCATATTAACCCCACTAAAAAGGTTAAGCCGTTTGGTTCCAGCGTCTCTTATTTAAGGCACACCCAAGATTTAGAACGTGCCAACAAAAGCCACTGGAGCAGTCATGTCAAAGCAGAAGCAAAATTCAGACTGATGCATAAAATCAGTGGACTAAGCTGATCTTATTTGAAGAAGTGATTACAAATAAAGTATTTAAAACAAGTTAACAACCTATTTCAGCAAGCCCTTTTGCTGAAAGAGATTCAGAGGCAATGGGACTTCACATTAGTCTACACAGAACTAAATAATTATCTCCATGGGGAAAAATAATATTGCTGCACCAAGTGAAAACAAGCACAAACTTTTCCTCCTCCCATCTTGGGGAATTAATTCCTATTGTCTTTTATGTATGAGGGGAATAAGAAAATAGTAATACACGAAACAGTTTTCATTGTGACTTATGGAAAGGAAGGAGGCCCAAATATGTTACTGTGCAAAAATAATGAATCAAAACTTATATTAGGGTTTAAATTACAGGTTGCATAAAAATACATTTCTAACAGTAAGCAAAAACAAAGCATGGTTAGATTAAATTAACAGTTAAATTAAACAACCAGTAATAGGTTATCTAACAACCATTGGATTAAAAATAATAAAAAGTTATTCCCATAAAAACAGAAAATCCACATTACAGTTCTTTTCCAATATAAAATTCAGGTCCATTTTTATGTATTTCTGACACTGACACAATTTCATGCAAGCTATTAAAAAAAACAACTGTTTGGGTTAAGAAAACAACTTCTGACCATGAGTAAATGCTAACCTTCATTTTTTTTCTAGGTCAGCTCGCTTGCATCACACACTTTTGTTCTAACTGTCTTTTTTAAAGGCCCAGTGATTTCTATTGATTTGACCAACAGTGAATTGGGGTTGTCCATATTAACTTAAAATGGAGACTAGCTTCTGACCAACTTCAGTTCCAACATTAGAAATATGTGGCATTGTATCCAAATATAACCTTTAAAAATTACACAGTGGGATATTGACAGATTACCCAGAATGTTCTTGTGAAGTTTTAAAAGAACTTTTAATTATGATGGAGAATACCAGCACAGAATCAATATTGGCAGAGCTATTCACTAAATAATTAAGTGTCAGAAAATGCTTCTATAAGATTTATAGGTCCTACAAGAATCTTGATTGGGGGAGGAGGGGTGTCAAACTTCGAATATGGGGTTTGATTTAGGAAAACTCACTATATTCAGTTAAAATCTGAATGTTTAAACCTAACACAATGCAGCCAATGGTGAGATTGCCAGAAGAATATCCTGGATTCACATTCATAAGAGGATCGAATAATTTGTTAAGTAAACATACAGAGTAAAAATAAAATCATATATTGTCTATTGGCTAGTATAAAAAAACCTGCTTCAATCAAAATAAATGTATCCAACATAAAAGGCTCAGAAAGGAAGTGGCAATGCAGGAAGAGGGAAATCCATAAAAGCATTCCTCATTTTGAGTGTTTCATAAAAGTTAAATTTTAAAAATACTAATTATTTACTGCAAGATTTGACCATGTATGAAAAACAACAATTAATAGCCGTCAGATCAGAGGAAGACATTGTATTCTTGCAAGACATCTTCTCGTACTAGATACACGTAGTAACACCCAATCACTGTCAAGGGTGCTGCAGAATTAGCAGCCAAGATTTTACTTCATGGTAATGAAACATTCTGCAAGTGCATTTTACATATTCATTTTACGGTTGTATTTGAAAACTGAAGAGTAGTCTCCTCAGAAACTTTAAAATGTAACATTAACAGGGAATCCATCATCTCTGTATTCAATTACACATTTACAGCACACCAATTGCAAGCAAAAACTTTACTGGTACAAATCACAGCCATAAAAATTAATAAAAATCCCCAATGTTTCCAATCTGTGCTGACAGATACTTTGATAAAAGGCAC